AATATTAGTACGAACTAAATTCTCATGAACATACTCTTTATAATATTTGTTCGCATGTCAACAAAACTGTTGTAGCTCACATTCCTTAGAACAGAGCATCTAACTTTGAAATAGCAGTACTAGATAATCATTTTCAGCTTCTATATTGCTATTGGAGCTCCGCTATTAGGTGTTACCTAATTTTTATATTATTGACAACTCTTTTATTAGAAAGACCAACGCTGCTCAGGTCTAGTGTCCATATATTGTCTACATCGTCCCAGTGACTTGAAAAGACGTTTTTTGCTTTCATCAAAGGAGTTTCCCCAGGTGAATCAACAGCAATTCAAAACGTAGATAATTACGATTATAGTAAAATCATTAAACCCGTGAAACAAAACTTGACTAGTTGTGATAGTCAAATGACACAAAATAAAGCAATGCAATTAGAGCGTACTAATGTATATTAATGTAATATTTGTTTCACTACGGGTTTTTTGAAAACTAGTATGGAAACTAGGCATAATACTTCCTCAACACTGCCCGTGGTTCCAGTAGAGCCGTTTGCAAAAAATGCATGAATTTTAATTTGGCTTAATACCCTTTATCACATATTTTATAACGTTTTAATTTCAACAATGATTTTCAATGTTGTCAGATTCGTAATTTTGAATGACGAGAAAAAAATCCAATCAACCAAACAAACAAAAATACTGGTGATCAACAAGAAAAAATAAATAAATCAATTAAAATTTCTGTATATTAAACTTTTTCAAGCTTTCGCAATCTTTGTTAATAGCGTTGCATGGGGCACTGCAGGTAAAGTATCAAGTGTGTTCATGGATTTCTTTTCTTGTACGTTTATTTGAGTTGAAATACTTGTTGTCTTATAATAGAAAAGTAAATATAGAAGGAAAATTATTCATGCTAACTTTTTATTTTGGTCTAATTTATTAGATTTTTTGCGCTTTATCTATCAATCTATTAAATTTTCTTTATGGGTTTTTGGGAACGACTCTAAAAGCGTGAAACACTAAYGAAAAAAGTGTGCAAAAATAGTTCAAGTTGAACAACGTAAACACATGGATTAGCATAAAGTTAGCATAAATCGTGCAAAATTGTTTACTAATTGTTGTGTGTACAAGTCGCTCTGTCAGCTATCCAAAACTCGTTTTTGACATTAAATAAAAATAGCTTGCAAAGACTTTACAACAAAGAGCTCATATAGAGGAAGTTTTTTAGGGGTTGGGTGCACGAGTAATTAAAAGAGATCTATTTTATGTGTGCATCTGGTTTTGACCTGAATAGTAAAGCGAAAAAAGTTGTTTGTTAGAAAATTATCGAATCAAGCGCAAATATCAAAGACGCCTTTAAAAATACGATAAACATTTAAAAGCGTCGTTAGAAATATAAAATTTGATCGTTTATGTATCTACAGCTCTACCTAAGCTACCATTTCCACGCGATTTATTAGTGGTGWACGATCAAACGACTTGAAATACGAGCCATGCCTTCTTACAACAAAGCGTAAAAGCAACTACATTATTAAACGCATTGGATAACTTGAMTGCGATCTGGAAAATACCCCACACGAAAGGATADATTATGATGTGGTTGGTTACAAGTAACTACTCTAAAAATCTATTTGAGTATATGGGAAGCCATGGTGTGTGTATTATTTACTTTTACATTGAATCAATATTATATTATCAATAATGTTTATACCACGAAATGAGGATTTAGATAAAGGATCATTAAAATAAAGAATGAAGCAATTGGGTACTCACAAGGAGAATGAATGTGGCAATGAATTCTGCAAGTGCTTCTCGGGCAAGAGGAGGCAAACGGCCTTTTATCTTATTGCAGTTCATCTGAAATATAAAAAAAGGAATAACAATAATAATAAACTAGTTTTTCTTCATATTTCTTTATACATGAAATAACAGCTTCTTAAAGCGAGCGACATATTTGAAAAAGGCGATAAGCCGAATGAAAACACTAACGCTGAAAAATAGCAAGCACGTTATGACAGGTTTAGAAATAGGTTGACTAATATACTAAAGCTACCAGATAAAAAGAATGATAGTAAAATCATCATAAATAGCTCTTTATAAAGAAAAAACGAAATCATAAATGATATTTAAAAAAGAAAGATTTTCGTATCTAAAATATGAGTTGGAATTACATCTTAACTCTTGGACGATGACAAATGAAGAAGCKTTGTGGGGGACGCAGTTTCAGAGCATTTATAAACGCATATGCCAGAATATTTAATAATCTGTAATTGAAATTTCATTGAACCTATCAAATAGCAAGCGTTATGCGATATTGAAAGTCAAATTAGTGATTTTCTTGGCAACCTCTCCCAGCGTTCACATAATAATCTAATTGTACTCCATATTTTGGTAGCATTTTTTTAAAATAAAAATTCTGCATAATATTTAACAAAGAAATAAAATAATCTAGATTATTAGATAAGTTAAGTGGAGTAAAGCGACTAGCGCAGACATTGAATAATATTTTGATATTACGAAATAAAACATATATGTGACTTATTTACTTATCAATAATTCAAGTACATAGCGTTTTATAAAAATTCTGAAAATGTAAGCAACATTTATAAATGCATACATCGTAATGTGTATCATAATAATATTTTGATAACTGCTTATATTATGGTTAATATAAACTAAATCGGTGTGTGAATAACATATTAGCTTTCTACATCAAAAACGATTTTCTAGCAAAATTTTCACTGAAAAATACCCATAATGCACCGTAAAAATGTTGTTATAATTTTACAGAACTTTTGTAAAACTCTGT